CCCCAAAACCCCAAAACCCCAAAACCCCTCTATGAATTTGCAATGATGTGATTTATGAAATTAAGATTATTCAACTTTATGAGGATTTCTTAGAGAGAGTTAATCTTTTTGTTGTTGTTATTGATTCAGGCTAAAAGTACTTATTTATCTCCTTGCATGAATATTGCTAATCAGTATACAACTCTATCTCATCTTGATCCCACATAGTTTACTATCTTTGAATCTTTAATGACACCTATGACTCTAAATTATTGATGGGCGAACATTCTTATCTAAAATCATCTCTATTAGCTGGTTTAAATTCGTCTAATATTTCCATTAGTATCCGCTTTTCCTTTGTGTCATTTTTAAAGTTCAAATGATCCATAAGACACATCTTTCCTCTCTTGCTAGGACTGCTAAGTTTTTGAGAAGCCCTTCTTTGCTTAAAGAAGTTCTTACTAGATTAAGTCTACTAAGTTTCATTGTTAGCTAATGTATGAGTTTTTAAGTTTCTTTATGACTGGTGGCCCCCAGCTTGTTTCATATCTTGGAACATATTGATTTCTCCATTTTTCATTGCTCTGATTTTAGAAAAAATGCTTGAAGCAGCCGTCTCAGTTCTAATTTCTTCATCTTATTATGAAGAGGATTGTACTACTCTAGCTGGAAATCTCTCTGTCAAATTTCCTGTATTTATCTATTTGACTTACTATCCATTTCCTTAATGTCTTGGATTCTGATCTTACATAATCTTGGTTCCGCCTCTATTTATAGTCAACGAAGTTCTTCTTTCTCTCTCTATTTTCAGTTGAATGGCTAATGATTATGGATCTACTATAAGTCTTCTACTCTGATGCATCTTAACGGCTTCAGCTACTTTATTCTCCTAGGTCCTGAAATAGTTTTCAACTAGCTGCTATTTTCCCATCATTCTTTCAGTAGGCTTACTAAGAGCTTACTTTGTAAGTTACTATAAGGAAATCTTGCTTTGGAGAAATTTTTCTGCTATTATCTTCTAGGTACCATCTTCGTCTGCTTTCTCTTTTTCTGCTTTAATCTGAGATTTATATTCAATGTCTATTTAATCGATAACTTCTTGGATTTTTAAGTGGCCTCCCTTCTTTTTCTTAGGAAGACCAGTTGAAATGAGAGAGAGTTTTGATTCTGTTCTATTATTTCTCTGCATAAGTTGGTATATCAAAGTATCTTTTTCCTTTTTTGACATTCCCTCAAATTTATATAGTATGTAGTCTAGAATCATTTATCTTGAAATTTCTGATTTAGCATAGTCATAGATATGATGGCCTAACTATTAAATGCTAATTAAATAAAAATCATACGTTATCCTGCCAGTTTATGTTAAACTTATAAAGAAATATTTCCTTGAGTATTTCTAAATTATCATTGATTGCCACAATCATTGGAGCAGTTAGTCCTTGCTAAATATTCAAATTAGAGAGAATAAGTTAAATCATACTTTATCCATTAGATTTATCTGACAATTCTGCTATAGTATAAGTCTGACAATCTCGAGATTTTAATTTTCGCAAGCATACATCAAAGCAGTTCTATTTTCCTAATCTTGCTAGTCTACTTTAATGCTATCCTTTTTTGAAGTAAGTAATCTTTCGACAGTTTCATAGTCATTTTTAATAACAGCCTTGAGAAAGATCGACTATCCTGTATTATCTGTCATACTAAACAAAGAAGTTTCGGACGAATTCATTAGAAAGTTGAAAATCTCTTGATTCTTCAATTGATAAGAAAGAAGTAGAACATTATCTCCTGTCTAGTGAAATATATTATACAAAAAATTTTTTACTTTATTATCTACAGAAGCTATTGGAACACCTTTCTTTATCAGTGATTTGAATAAGTCCAACCATTTCTATTAAATACATTCAAACAAAAGTTCTACACCCTTGCACATATTTTTACCCAAATTCTCTCCACTATCAATAAGAATCCCAAGAATTTTCTCGCTATGAACGTCTCTTGCATAATCTAGTAATACCTTTCCATAAATATCCTCAAAATCAAGAAAAGAGCACTTTGAAATGAGCAGCTTTACCTCCTCAAAGTTATCTTTCATGACAGCATAAAATATTGGAGATCTCTCATATTTGTCGATTAGATTCACATCGTATAGTTCAGTGTCGACTAACTTTGTAAGAATTTGAAGATTAGCATACTAGCAAGCAGTGTGCAGAATGTTTCCATACATATTCGCATAAGTGACTCCGGTGTCCAAAGTAAATATAGAATGCTTTATAAGTGAACCCAATGCCTCGTAATTTCTGTTCTTGACACAATAGAAAATTGCATCTTTTGAGAACTAAACAATTTGATTTTAAATTTATAATTACAAAATCTCTCTAGTTGACCTTGGCACCATTTAAGATTAGATATTCTACTCCACTGGCGTTGTTTATTCTGCAGGCCTCCATTAAAGATGTTTTTCCTTTCTAAGGATGATTAATAAAGAAATCGATTTCATACCTGATCTATATCTCCAAAGTATTTATCAACATTCTTTACTCTTGTTAGCCTTTCATAACTCTCACTTTCGTCTGTCTCCTAAGTTTTATCCTCGTTGAGGCTCTTTACCAAGTTCATCCAAACTATAATATGTTATCAATGCTTACTTAATCTATTCTTACTTGATGGTCTGTAATATTTTATATCATTAGCGTCATGAGCATAGGGGCATTTATCACCTTGTGGACATTGGCCAATCTTCCTCCAAATTAAGCATAACCTATTGTCCTGATCTTGAGTAACTCCACTTGAATAGGATTTGGTCTTTTCAAATATGCTAACTTTCTAAGTAAGCTACGCAAATTATTCCTCATCGTCTAGATTTAGAGTGCCTACACCTGTTATTCCTTCTTTAGATCTGCTTTTACCTCTGCTCTTTAGTTTTCGTTGATTTTATTTTTCTATCAACTTATCAAAGTTTGACTGCTTATTTACTTCTTTTTCTTTCCCTTTTAGTCTTTAAGTTATCATTAATTTCGTTTCAGTTGATTGCTGCTCACTAATTTAGAATTAATAAAATGATGCTATACTCACCTATCAATCTAATTAAAAAGTGACTTTGTAAGTGCAGATGTACCTATACCGAATAAAAGTTTCTAAGATTCCTATTCTCTTTCTTAAATCAAAACGTCCAATTTTTATTAAAGCATTTAAGCATAGTCTTTTTGATCAACTTAGATAGGTTGTACAGATAATGGCTTTAGTACACTTGATTCTTTTCTAGGCATTTAAGGTTTTGAGCTAATTATTGGGACAGGCTAAAGATTCAGAGAAATCATAGGCTAAGAAGCATTTTTCCTAAGTTTCTAAGGGCTTTAATGATTCATTTTGTAAATTATTAATTTTGCAGATTTATGAAGTCATTCTATTTTAAAATGAGGGGTTTTGGGGTTTTGGGGTTTTGGGG